TAACATAGGTTTAAAGACAAAAGCCGACATAATTCTGCATAGCTGTAATCCTACTCAGAAAATCCCTTCATGAAGGAGCATTTATTTCTACTGCTTGATTCTAGATCTTTATATTCTGTTTTAAGTTCCACATTACAAGACTTTAGTGATAAACATTGGTGATCAAAAATGCCTTTGGAATCAGACGCTCAATATCGGTCGTAAGATAAATTATTGTAATTTACAAACATTTGAATTGAAATATGCAAAGTTAAACACATTGCAGTCGTAAAGGAATTAAAATAACAAATATCTGACCATACCTCAAGATCAGACCAACATCAAAAGGTATCAAATACGAAATCCTTAAACCCCCTCAAAGATAACGATATAAATGGATAGCTCAAGTATAATGCACGGAGAGGAAAAAAATATAAACGATGGGAAATAAGATATCTCTCAACCCAACCATTAGTTTTTCGCAAAAAATGTCAAATGTTGTAACTGTATCTGTGTTTCAAGCCTACAAAAAATCAAAATGGTTTGCTTACTCATTTATTTATCTTTGTTTTTATTCTAGTAAATGCTACAATTTCTTTAATGTATGTTTTCTCGGCGTCTTTGTGCAGGGCTTTTAAAATTTAGGATAAAAAGGGAAATTTATTAATGCTTTTAAATACTGGAAAAAGCATTTTAAATATCTAAATAAAAATATCTTTCGTTACACATTGAAGTGGGTTATTTTTATCAACTTTTAGAACTTTTATTGGTCTTTCAGTTTATTTATGACTGTCAGTATAAAACATTTATGTGTTCATAAAAGCTTTCATTAATTAAAATTATTACTAAAAGCTTAATTTAATGAATTACCTAAGTACGTTATGTGTTCATTGAGTAAACAGAAATCATATTGTAATTATTGTAATTTTTAAAGATTCAATGCTGAAACCATTTTCTTTCGTTCGATTGTGTCTAATTCCTTGAATAATTTAAGGATTCAAGAATACTTCACTTTTCATATTTTAAAATTTTCTTATTAAGCGTCACAGCGGGAAAAAAAAGGATTAGAACTTTACAAAAAAAATTTGTTCTTTTTTCTCTTTTATTTTATACTAGCCGCCTAAGGCGGCCAGCTGTCCGCCACGCTAAAGGTTTCCACAAATAAAGTTTTTTAAAACATAGCAGGAAATCTGAAGATTAGTGGACAATTAAAGTGTTTCTGTCCTGCAATTTTGTCTTCATATCCAGTTCTGCTGCAGATGTGTTATAGCTCTTGAGGATGTTTGAAGATGTAACTTTGCTATGGTAACCTAACCTATAATATAACTATCAGGTGGAGACTTGTTTTTTTTTTCTTAAAAAAAGGCCTCAGAAATTGTAAAAGCATACAAAAGTTGCTTTAAATACATGAAAAGAACACGAAAACGAATTAATTTTTTATGGTATCTATTTCTCTATAATTTTTTTATGGTATCAATTTCTATTTCTATATCGCTACAAAAATTAACGTCGGGTAGACTATATTTGAGGGTGCCCCTTGATTCTCGCCAAGTTGTGATCGCGGTTGATCGCCAAGCTGGGCGATGTTGAAACCCAATCGTGATTCTCAACGGTTTAGATTTTAGCGTTATTAATGTTCAACGGTAT